TCATCATTCGCGTCTGCTACTTTTACATCTGCCGGTCGGAAATAAAAAAAAAAGGCGGAGGGATGAAGTCGATTCGTCGAAAACGATTATTTTCCTGCGCTTCCGAACGGAACGCGAAAGTATGTAAGTATGGAGGACATGGGATAATGTATTCATACGAGGACCATATAAGTGCATTTCCTCGAGCCGAAGGAGGGCAATCATCCATAGAGGTTGGAGGCATATAGTCGTGTATGGTAATGAAGATGACGGGAAGAGAACGGCCACAAGCCATTTTTCATCGCCCCATTATCTGGCGACATCCGGATAACACAGGCATATGGCAAAGCACCGCCCTAATTCTGTTTAATGAGAAATTATGACGGTCTCACAAATTATCACCACGCACCATCGCCGGTCTGTGGAAAAAAATCTCCGTGCGACGAGGACTTTCACAGCCCTAGACTCAACGCTTGAATGATCCCATTTGTCTCCACGACTCCTTTGTCCACGGAACGACTTCCATCGGGGCGCTGGTATGGTTTACCGAGAGACCTTGAGACTCGTTTTGCGTCCGGAGACTATTTCGGCGATGGCTGTGACCATGACGGCATTGTTTTTCGTGAAATATTCGCCGGAGGAGACGCGGGGATGATGATAATATCTCACTGACAGAAAGAGGATCCTTGGAATCTCCAGTTTTCACATCGTTATCGGTGTGTCGTCAGAGAAAAAAAGCTTCGCGTCTCGTAGTATTATTCTTTTTCATCGAATGAGGAGATTTTGCACGTGCTAACATGCTAACCGTGCTAATATTTCTACAGTCGCTTATGAAATATCGAAACGATCGGATGTCCCTCGATAGAATCGCCCGATCGGGAACGAAATTAATTTTTCAGATTCTCAGGCCGATGAAATCGATCCGTAGAACCTCGCCCATCTCATCGACTTCCACCGTGCAGAAACGCCTTGCACCGACCGACCGATCCATTCCTAATCTAAACCGTTCAAAACGCCCGGTCGCGTCGCAAGATGCCTCGCCGAACGGACTCGCGACAGCACACGCACACCGACGCGAAACGACGACGACCGAAAAAGTCGACGATTCGCCGCGAAAGAAATCCTGTCGTTCGGCTGTCGACCGGGATCGACCGGGATCGACTGGGATCGAGAAGGATGTGGGAGGATGTCGCACCGACCTCCATCTGGGGGCTCGACCTCGGCCAGAAGCGAAGGAAAATGATGAAATTTTATCGAGGGCTGAACGAGTTCAACGAGTCGTATGCGAGGTGAGCTCAACGGTGAAGCTAATTCCATGTGATTGCCGACACATTCCGCAAAGGGGATATCGCTAATTCCTATCGTGGATGCCGAAACGGAGATAAATTAATTAAGATGAGATTTTCCTGAATGCGTTGGAATGTCTCGTTCTCGGAATTTCCGTCCACCGAGGACGAATTTTTCTCCGAAAACTGCTACAGTAACCGTTCGCGATCCCCGAGGTTCTCATGGGATTTCCATGAATGCGCGCAATGCGCGCGTCAATTTGCGACTCCGCTCGGTTTCACGATTTTAACTCGTGTATAATTTCCTGGAAGCTCGTCGTTCCTCCGAACCTCTTCAAGTCTTCCACTTTTTTTTTTCTCATCCATTCAAAATCTCGAGATCGCGTTCCCAGCGACAATTCTCGCTCTGCCTTCTCTGACTCCATACAAATCCAATTTTTATCCGCATTTTCCACCTATCGACGTACCATCAGAGCGCGAAGGAAATCTCGAGAGAAAAGTGGAAGCGAAGAAAAACCCATTCGGAAAGACGCAGAAAAAAAACCCTTTCCGAATTTTCTTCCATCGTAAAACGTGAGGACTTTGGAAGACGTCTTCCTTACGTCGTTCTGAAGCCACTGCTCCTCAACTTTTTTTTCGAGCTGACGTCATCTGATAGATTCTTACGAGATGTATCAATTTTACTGAATTTCAGAGTTTTTTTTCTCGTTCGCAAACATTCCGTCGGCCATTTTCGCCGCGTCCGTGACGCGAATCTCAGAAAAGTGGGAAACCGGTACGTGCGTGAGATCGACATCGATTTCCCGCAACGCGGAAGGCCAATTCCACCAACAAATTAATTATGCTCGAAATGCAAGAAATAACTCGCAGGATCGCTCCAACAAGCAATCCGAACGCGGCACGAAATCATCGAAGAGATGACGATGCTTTGAGCATTTTCATCGCAGATCGTAAAGCTGCCCGACCATTCACGCAGCGGTGGGCGTTTACGAATCGTGCCATCGTCCCGGGTTTCGATCGAGCCGTTCCCGAACTGCCGTTACGTTTTCCGACCGTTCGTATTCCGACATCACGCAGCCGCATTTCACGACGGGGCGATACTTTCTCCACGGTGTGAGGGATTTTCTAGCCGTATGCGGCCCCGCAGTCTCGCCTTGCCGTCCGTCTTGCCGTCGAGACATTCGGTGCGCTTCCGAATTTCCTCGAGGAACTCAGCGACGCAGCATCGGTCTTCGTCGGTCCATCGGACCGGTCGACCGGGAAACGTCTCGGTCTCCGTCGGTCCATCGGACCGGTCGACCGGTCGGACGCGAAACGTCTCGGTCTTCGTTCGTCTTCTCGTCTCCGGGCCTCTGGGATCGTTCCGGAACGAAGCGGTGGACTCGAATCCCGCCGATGGTGCGGGGTGCCGTTTCCAGAGGAGCATTTTGGACGCGACATCGGTGTCGCGACGATAGGCAACCGTTAGTATTTCCCGTCGCGAAAGATCCATTTAATTTTTACCGTTTCCTAGCATTCGACGCGTCCCACGTCGTCGACGAGGCATTTCTTTCATGGCATCGGAGCACTTCCCCGTCTCGAGTGCCGCTCTCGCATCATTACGATGCCGAACTTTACACGTAGCCGTTAAATTTCCATCACGGCGATGCCATCGATGACGACGCGATGCCATCGATGACGACGCGATGCCATCGATGACGACGCGATGCCATCGATGACGACGCGATGCCATCGGCTTTGGGCTCCGGTTGCGATCTCGTTCGATAGGTCCGATGCAACGAGGAAGCGTTCCTGCAGTTCCTTCGTGTCTTCTTACCATTGCAGGAGTCGACTCTTCCAGGCAAACTTTTTTTAAATGAAAAAAATAGAAGTTCGGTTCCATTCCTGCCTCTCGGTACTCAGATATTAGGACGTTCTCGCCGTCTTGCGGAAAGAGGACGGCGACGATGAGCGAAGCGTCGAACGATCACGGTTTTCATCGAGTCGAACATTAATTAAACCATTTATTCTTCTTTAATTATTAATTAAATCATTTATTCTTCTTTAATTATTAATTAAATCATTTATTCTTCTTTAAAGTTTTTGGATCTTTACCATGAGAGGAAAATGCACGCACTGTCCATTCGCGTTTAGAGAACGGACATCGGCATAATTTGGTTTAAAAGAATAGAATGGAATTTCTGGAATAATGTGATGCAGGGGGTGAACTTGAGAGCAGGGTAGGAATTTCCTTCGCCCCACCTGCAACCGTGGTTTCATTAAAAAAAAAAGGCCTCTTAAAAATAAAAGCGCCTTCGCTGCGAACTTTCCAAACCAAACAGTCTGAAAACCATTACTCAACGCATATCGTTGATGAATGCGTGTAGAGCGGTTGAAAGATGATCTGCGAGTTGCGATACGCATCGATGAAACGACTCGTCGATCATGCCTTTTACTTTTTATTTTCAGCGCGAGACACGATCTCGGACGGATCGGACGAGGTGCGTGAAGTCGGCTCACGCCGCCGACGCGTTCGAACGAGTCCGTTTCGACGCTCTTCCGCTTTTCTTTTTTCCCGGCCGAGAGGAGTCGGCGGATTTATCGGGAAGCGAGAAGCGCTGAGCGGTCGGTTTCACGGATGCCAGAGGCGGTGCGATCGATCAAGAGGAAAAGAAGGAATCCAGTTTCTGCATCGTCCTTCTTCCTGTTCGCATCGCATCCATGTCATCCGTGTTTTCCACTCGAAGAAACACCTAGAGATATTTTCTGTCAACCCATTGGCTTATGAAGCGGGTGGTTCGTCGGTCGTCGCGGGCGACACGTTTCGTTAGGAAGTTCGTGCATTTATCGAAGAGCATATACCATGCATATGAGATGGCTGCACGTGTTGCTTATCGTCTCGAAGCCCAAGTTCTGATGAGCTAACGAACGACAGAAAATCTATCGAAAATTTAGTTCTCGGAAATTAATAAGCCAATGGTTTAATCTCAAGAGAGGGCCATTTAATTGGAGGTCGTACCAGATACAGCTTTTCTCTGCAGCGCCCTTTCTCCCTTTTTTTCACGGAGTGAAAAAAACCGACGTGTTTCTTGCCTTAGTGCCGGCAACAACAAAAAAAATTGCATCGGTGCCCTTTATGGACAGCAAGGGGGTAGATGAAAAAAATTCTGCGGTCCACCTGTAAGAGGTGGTCACCGGCAAAACCTCCAGAGGCTCCAGTTCATCGTCTTCGAAATTCCTCACGATGCCGCTTTCCATCGGGATCTCCTCATCTCATCTCCGAGAAGCCCGACCGATCTCGATTCCAACCTTGCGACCCGGCTCTTTCGTTTCGAGTCGACTTCGTCTCGGTCTCGACTCCATCGCATTCTTTCGCGACCGGATCGAAGGCTTCTTTTGAACACGCTCGATTCACTTGCACCCGACGAGGAGTTAAGAGGAGTTTCCTCGACTGCGCCAAGGCTCAACAAGTTATGTCCATTCATTTTTAAAATCATTATTGGATCCATTTATCGTGATAAGGATCTAAGAAAAGCATCCATTTGGCAAACTTGGACACAAGGACTTCTCATCCATCTTTCTGAATCTGGAGATATGTAATAATGTGCGATTGCATGGTTTCGCAATCCTAGAAATTCGTGTCATCGTGTGCACTTACCCTCTTGTGCCCACTTACCCTCTTGTGTGCACTTACCCTCGTGCGTGCACTTACCTTCTTTTCGGATGGCGAATGAATCAATGGAGGCTGATGTGAAGCACCCGTAATCAATGAATCGTTTTATTCCCATAAAATGCTGCTTTCTCTCTCACATCCGGAATATAATGCATGGATATTCCTCCATCGAAATTGCACAAGTCTTGGATAATGCAGAAAAATGGGGCAGAATCCTCTCGTCCGTCGAGTCGCTGCGAGAATGCATTCACATATATACCAAAAACTTTCAACATTTTTTTTCCTCCGTAAAATTCACGTTCCGAAACATCGTCCCTTCGGAAATCGACGACAAAATTTGCAAATTTCCATAACGTCTCCCAATTCTCTCTACAGAATACATCGAAGGGTCAACTATAGAAATAAATTAACAAAATGGAAAAGGAAGGAAGGAAAGAGCGAGGAAGAGAGACCTTTGGTAAGAAAAGGAGGGCCTTTATCACAATGATTCCTTCGGCTTCTCGGTGGCAGGCCCAAAATAATGCTCAGTCGTAGATAACGGGGGCCGATATATTTTTTTTTTAGAAAGGTATTGCACAGCGACATGGTGTGGAGAGATCCGGATGAGATCAATGCACCTCCACGGGAATTTCGGCGACGATCGCCACATTCGACAGGGAGACTTTTTTTTTGCGTGTGTCATCTTGGGTTATATCGGGTCGCATCGCCGAGGAAGAAGGGAAGGAAACGTTTCGCAGCCGTAGTAACAGAGATAAAGGCGGATGAAAGCGTTCAAGAGATGCAATCTCGCTTTTTCTGTGCGAACAACACCCCTTGATACACGACTTCGTTCACTTCCAGACACACCACTATGGAATTGTCCACGCCCCCACCCTCACTCTCGCCTAGACACGGAAGGAATGCGTCCGGTTAGATTAAAGGCTGATCATCGTCGGCAGGGAGAAGTCGAGTCACCACGGAGTACGAAGACGATGTCAAAAGTGGAACACCTTTTCGAGAATCGCACTTTTAAAATCTCTGATATTGCCAACATTTATGGCTGTTTCGGGGATTCGACATAAGTTAAGCACTCACGCTAAGAAACTAAATTCTGGTAGGTTCAAAGTATTGTGCCAATGCGTCACCATCATGCTTCAATTTACATCGGTTTCAGAATTTCGTGATGGCTCGACCTCTACCTTCGAACGACCTCTAGTTTGACTCACCTCGACTGGAAATTTTTATGGTGGTTCTAGGACTAGTATTGGACCGGTGTCGATCCAGTCTATCGTCTTCGTTGTCGTCGATCTCGGCCCAACTCCGTTTGTTGCCTTTCTTCGAGGAAAGCGGCGGCGAATAGCTCCGTTTCTCCGACGAACAACTCTTCTTCGCGTCAGCCAGGTTCAAGGCTTCATATTGAGGGGGTGGGATTATCCCACTTCCCAGTAGATGTCTCTCCAGTTCCTCCCGCCTCCCACCTCCTGCCCCCTTCTCTTGAGGTTCCTCCCCTCCCATGTGGTTGAGGAGGAGTTTGTTCCACATGCTGATGCGGGCCTGCATGTCCAGCAAGGCCGCGTTCGCGTTCGTCGATGCTGGGAATCCTGGAACTGATCGGCCAGGAACCAGCGTTAATGGCGTTCAAACTTTTGTCGATAGTTTTTCATTCCATTGTATTCGTCCTTAAGTCCCCCCCCCCCCCAATTTAAGTAATTCCTTATTTCTGGAATAAGTAAAGCAGGTGCAAACTGGGACTTTCCGAAGTTACTGGTCTCGATATACAATAGTATGCATCCCAGGAAAGCTTCGTTTTCCTTCAAGAGGGACTCTAACCCATTGACTTTAAAATTATTATTATTCTTTTCCTCTTAAAGGTACCACGAATTACAACCGCCCTGCACGATCCCCGGCGACGAAAATGCTCGTAAAAGTAGCGACTCACCCGAAGAGAGGAAATGGGCAGCGGCAGCGGCAGCAGCAGGCGAGGTGGAATTCCCGTTGAACATGGATCCGGCCCTCGATTGGACCATGCCGATGGAGGGGATCTGGGCCGGCAACGGGGACCCCCTGGCACCTGCATGGATCAGGTCCTGGAAAGTGCTAAAATTGCTGGGACTCGAACTCTTCTTCCCCTTTCCGTCGCCTCGGACGTTGGCTCCGATCGCGGCCTGGAGGTCTTCGGGGCTGCTCAGCCTCTGTCGCGCACACTCGAACGGGTACAGGTACTTCATGTATCTGGGAGAACATTCCTTCTCATTCGTTTTTGCATCGCATCGTGCACCTCGATGCAAAAAAATGCTATTTATGTAGACTTTTGATCGAAAGACCCTGTTTATGGCATTCTAAAAAGTCTTGGAGATGCGGGGAAAAGAGCAAGGAGCAATTCCAAAAGTGCGAGATGAATGGATGGCTCCCAGAACATTCGCTCCATCTTCCAGAGAATACGAGATACATGGTAATACTCGGGGGGTGTCGTTGATTAACGGACACGATTACGCTTCTCCTAAAAATGACACACACATGTCACCAGAATGTGCCGTTGCACTTCCCGTGCCAAACCCTCTTTTCGCACTTTTTCCCCCCACGAAATGATCTATTTTTGAGCGATACGGCGCCGAGACCTGCATCGCAAACGGGGCCGATGGGATTGTTCCCTGCCGAGTAAGAACAAAAAAAAAAAAGGCAAAGACG